GCGCGCACGACGCGACGAGCGACGAGCGACGAGCGACGAGCAACGACGACGACGACGACGAGGACGACGCGAGCAAAATGTAAGTGGCGATATGTCCCACTGCGCCTTTGTACACATCGTTCGCGTACACCACAACGCGCGCGAACACCACAACACTTGCGTACACCGCAAGAACCGTGTGCAACGCAGCGCCCGTGTACACCACAGTGCTTGCGTACACTACATCGCCGGTGTACATGTGTACACCGCAGCAACCATGTACAACAGAGCGCATGTGTACACCACAATGCTTGCGTGCACCGCAGCGCCTGTGCACGCCACAGCGCCTGTCTACACCACAGCATCCGCGTGCAACGCAGCGCGACTGTACACCACTGCCTGCGTGCAGGACAGTGCTAATAATCGAATGCGATGTTCTTCCCTCTTCCCTCCTCCTCCGCCTCCACCTCCACCTCCACCTCCTCCTCCTCCTCCTCCTCCTCCTCCTCCTCCTCCTCCTCCTCGTCCTCCTCCTCCTTACCGCCTGTCGTGCGGGGCGGCGCTATAGCGCACGTGCGCAATTCAGCGCGCAGTGCACCGCATCATGGTCTACTGAATCGGTCCACTTGGCTGTCGCACGGCCAATTTCGCTGGAGCCTCCTGGACGCAGATGGGAGAAGTTAGGATGATGCGGGCGGACTCGGGGGAACTCGTAGATTCCAGCGGCGCTCTTTTGTCCATAAGGACTCCTTTGTCTTGTCTTTTTTATGGAATCCACAAGCGCTCAATTTTGTCATACGGATTCCTTCTAACATTCGATATGCAAGTGTGGCGCTGTGTTGCACGCGGTTGCTGTGGTGCACACAGGCACCGTGGTGTACACAGGCACTGCAATCCACGCAGGCATTATGGTGTACACTGGTGCTGTGTTGTACACGGCTGATGTGGTGTACGCAGGCGCTGCGGTGTACACAACAGCTGTTGTGCCCGCGAGCACGGTGGCACAAACTGACGCTGTGTTGCACGCGGCTGCCGTGGTGTACATAGGCGGCGTGGTGCACACAGGCGCTGTGGTGCACACAAGCAGTGTGGTGTACACAGGCGTTGTGGTGCAGATCGCCCCCTACATGCTGGTGCTACCCGTACTCTGTCATTCCTAGGTATTCCCAGACGCCGCCGGCGCGAAAAATGTTGTCATCGACCCCCTCCACACTCCCTCAGATGATTGCCGCGATCGGCCCGAAACAAATAACAGGCTCCAGCCGCGTCCGCGCGCACGACGACGATGAGCAACGAGCTACGAGTGATGACGACGACGACGACGACGACGACGACGACGACGACGACGACGACGACGACGACGACTGCGGACCAGACTCCTGTGCGGATTCTTACGCGGACACCTACGCGGATCCCAGCGTGCACGGCGGCAGAGCCCGGAGCGCACTGGGGGGGGAGCGTTACGTCATAAGGGGGGGGGAGCGGGGGCCATGACGCCCGTCATGCCCCAAGCAATAAAGAAATGGTCTCGAAGTCCCAATCGAGAGCGCGATTCTTCAATAAACTGTGAGGAAGTATCAAGCGGGAGCCGCGACCCAGTGGTAAATTGCAAGGAAGTCCCAAGCGAGAGCGCGATTCCTCGATAAACTGTAAGGAAGTATAAGGCGGGAGCCGTTGTTGTTGTAAACCGGGGGCCAACATCACAATTTGACCATCACGACTTCCCCTGCTAAGTAACAGGGTGCGAGCCCCGGGAAGGGCACTTCAACCGAAAAAACAATGTGCACCGGACGGGGGGGATCAACAATAGTAATTCTCCAGAAGTGAGAGTTCAACAACAACAACAACAACAACAACAATAACAACAACAACAACAACAACAACCACAACAACAACAACAACAACAACAACCACAACAACAACAACAACAACAACAACAACAACAATAACAATAATAATGTTAAGACTGCTCGCCCTTATATGCTCGAGTGTCCAATAACGCGTATTCCCCAAACCCTCGATACCCGCCCTCTTCGTCTTCGATCGAACCCCTTTTGGGGGGTTTAACTTTCTTCCCTGCAGGCCAGGCCCCGGCAAGCGGCGGGGCGGCCGCGGACCGTCGGCCTGGCCAGTGGCAGCGCTGATCGGCGGGGCGGCCGCGGACCGTCGACCCGACCCCAAGAGGGACGGACAGGGGACCGACCACGACGACGACGACGACGACGACGACGACGACGACGTCGAAGACGACGGCGACGACGACGACGACGACGAGCGAAAGCGAGAGCGAGAGAGAACGACAGCAGGGCCACGAAGGGCACGAAGTAGGCCACGAAGGGCGACAGCGGGGACACGAAGGGAATGCGTATGGGGCCACGAAAGCGCGAACGAGCGGGGGCCACGAAGTGCAGATAATGCGGGGCCACAGAAGGCAACTATGGGGCCACTGAGGGTAGCAACTGGGCCACGTAGGACAGTGAGGGGGGCACAAATGGCGACAGCGGGGCCACGAAGGGCATGCACATGGGGCCACAACGGGCGCGACTCCTGGGTGCCTGGATGTCGGGAGCGCGGCGCTTAGGCAGATTGCAGGAAATACCAACGCAAGGCTATTCTTCAGTAAGTCGCAAGCAAGTCTCCAGCGAGAGCGCGACTCAAGAGAGCCGGGAGAGCGATTCCTGAATAAATTGTAAGGGAGTCCCAAGCGAGAGCGCGATTCCTGAATAAAATGCAAGGAAGTCTCGGGCGGGAGCGGGGGTCCTGGCAGGCAGGAGGTTATTGTTGTAACCCGGGGGCCAGGGGGCCAGTTTGAGCAGGAAGACTTTCCCTGTCAAAAAACAGGGTGCGAGCGTCGAGGGGCACACTTTGATTGAGAAAAAGCAGTATGCACAGGTGGGGGGGGATCAACAAAAAAATATGCTTCATAAATGAGAATTCAACAACAACAACAACAACAACAACAACAACAACAACAGCAACAACAGCAGCAGCAGCAGCAGCAGCAGCAGCAGCAACAACAACAACAACAACAACAACAACAACAACAACAACAACAACAACAACAACAATCATTTAAGACTGGGGACACTCCGTTCTCACCAGTGCCAGGGTTTTCATAGGAGGCGGGCAATACCCCCATTTTGTGGGGGGGCCGGTTCAAGCTCTACCAAATTTCCAAACGACTCTTCGCCACCACCCACACCCAGCTTCCCGCCCTATGACGTTCGGACACTTCACTTCGTGGCATGCGGACGACCGTGGCTACTATTCAGGGCCCCGCGGCCGACGACGACGGCGTGCGCGCGCGAAGAAAAAACGAATGTGTCCAATATGGTATTATTTGACAGGGATGATGGCCCTGACATGCGCGCAACCGTGGTTGCAGAAGTTCGAAGCACGTGAAAAAGTTGCTCGCAAGAGCCCGTTTGACAGAAATGTTGAAAAAATATTGGGTTTCCTCAGAAATCCGCAAGAGCGCGCAAGATGAATTTTTGAAACTTTTTTTTTGAAAAACCATTGGGTTTTTCATGTTTTTATGTTAAAATCGCTACGAAAACTAAGGTTTTGGAAGGATTTCATCTTGCGCGCGCGAGTGTGCACTTCGTGTCATTTTTTTCAAAGGATTCTTGAAGTTTGGTTATGTTAGAACAAGAAATTCATTTTATAGTGTTTTTTGCAAGGGAAAGCGGGCGTCAACAAAACAACCGGATCTGGATGACATCGTTTTACCTGAGACTTCCTCACGAAAATGATGAAAATGTGGCTGCGGCCTAGGCGCGGGGGGGGGGGGCGTGCACCAGGGGGCCCAACAATAATTATTCTTTAGAATTAATAATGTTCAACAACAAAAGCTCGCGCCCTCCGCCGCCGACACGCGCGCGCGAGGGGGGGAAGGCACAGACATCCTCGCGTGGTGGCAAAATCACGACGGCCAGTCCTCGGCCGCCTTCGGGCTCCAGCGGGGCCCTCGCCGAAACCCAGGGCCGCCAAAGCACGGCTCGCGACGGAGCACCCGCCCAGGGGCAGGGGTCGGGACCTCCGGGGCCGCGCACTGCAAGAGTCAAGCCGTCGGATGTCTGGGGAGCGGCGCCGCTGCCGCCGCGTCGCATCCGCGGGGAGGTACGCGCCCACCTTGTCACCAGTCAGGCCTGCCCTTCCCGTTCTCCTCCAGGGGGGGGGCAGCAACGACTGCTTTCGCGCACCGGTCAGATGCTCGTTCCGGGGACCTTCCCGGAGACACTCGCTCCTCTCATGCGTCGATGCTGCGTCGAACGTCCATCGACCTGAGTTGAACTTGAGCCGAGGTTGAGTCGACCTTGAGTCGAGCTAGAGTCGAACTGGTCGAATTAGAGTGGAACAGGTCCGTTAGGTGGGCCCCAGAAGGTACCCAAAACGAACAGATCATGCCAGGGGAGGGGGGTACAGCCCCGCCCCACGAAATTCGGGCGGGCATTCGAACATAGATTAGCGTGTCGTTTCTCTTTTTACAAAAAAATCTTCCCACAAGAGTGGCCGGTTGAGCAGTGGCGGTGTTTTGGCTGCCAGGCAGGGTGGCACCTACACACAGTCTTCACTGTTTTGGGGAAGTATTTCCAGACAGGCGATGCAGAGGCCGAAAACTGCCAAAAACCTCCAGCCGCATTATTCCCACAACGCGAGCACGTCTGAGTCTTCATCCTTGTGGATCCCTGGGGTCCCCAGACAGCGCCGCGGTTCTAAGCGGGGCCCTCATGGTGAGTCGACCGACCTTCCCGTCTCGCGCGGGACCTCGATGGAGAGGATCGAAGACTGGGGATGGTGTTGGGCCTCTTCTGACATCCTGTCCATGACCCTCAGAACTGAACGGCAACGATAGGGAGGGCTCAGGGGGGGGGGGGAGATCGTGCTTGAAACGGCGATACATGGCCGATACATCGGCGATAGGCCGCCGATAGCAAATCGGCACGGTCCTGGGCGGGGTGAGCTATCGGGTCCCTATCGGCGATCAGCGGGCGATTGGGGGTCAATGCGTCCCCCCCTGAGCCTGTCCCCCCCTAACGATGCCCTCTGGTTTTCAGAACATGACTCTGATCTCCTGCGGCCGTTCGGGACGATCCCGGTACCCCCCGAACGCTCTCGGTGAGGCGCAGCTGCTGGAGAGCACCCCGAGGCTAAAAAACCGGCGACAACCGACGAAAACGCCCGACAACCTCGAACTCCAAATACGAAGACCTCAAAACCTCGAGGGGAGGAGGAGGGAGGATGATCCTGTCGATGATCCTGTCGAAGATCATGTCGATGATCCTCAGAACGTGTGTTAGCGCCAACGTGAGCTTTCTGCTCTTCCCTCCTCTCCGGCGCTCCCTTCCTCCCACCCCTCCCGACTCCCTCCTCCCTGCTCGGCCAATCCACCCCCTACCTCCCTGCATCCGCCACCGTGCCTCTGGGCACAGAGTGAGCTTGTCCTCAGGTCCTTTGCCCAATCCCCTGAGCCCCAGTCCTCCCCCCTGAAGAGTCTCTTAGGGGCACGGATTCTCAAATCTTCTTGGGCAGCAGTTCCTATGGGGCTTGCCGCGTCTTGCCGCCTGACTTGTCGGCCCAAAAGAGCCATAAGACGGGCCAAGAGGGCTCCAAGAGGCCGCCAAGACGGTCCAAGAGGGCCCCGAGTCGCCGAACGATCGCCCCAGGACGACCAAGATGGCCCCCAGACGACCCAAGAAGCCAGACGCCCCAAGAAGCCTCCTGAGAAGGCCCCAAGAGGCCAAACTCATGTTCCTTAAGGTTTTGAAGGATTTCGGCGTTGTCGCCATTTCGGCTTCCCAACGCTCGTAGACGGCCCAAGAGGCCCCCAAGACCGCCCCAAGACGGCCCAAGAGGCCTCCAAGAGGGCCCCGAAACAGCCCAAGAGGGCCCTAAGACAGGACAAGAGGCGCCCAAAACGGCCCAAGAGGACCCCAAGACGGCCTCAAAAGGGACTCAAAAGAGGGAACACAAACCGCAATTCTAGCCTTCCGCCCCAAGAGGAGCCCAGGAGGACACAAGAGGACCCCAAGAGGCCCCAGGAGGCCCCCAACAGGCCCAAAAATGCCTCAGGAGGCCGCCAAACAGCCCCCAAGAGGCGTCCCAAGAGGTCCCCGAGAAGCCCCCCACGAGATCCCAACGAACATCCAATAAGCTTCATACCCAGAACCAAAGCACGGTGGCGGGAAGGACCGAAAGCCATTAGACCTGGGCCCGGCACAGAAACGGAAAGAGCGCTTCAGAATCTTAACCAAAATTACTCACACCACCGTTCGTACTGGGAGCCTTGGCGTTGAGAGCTTGTTACGTCACCCCGCGCTCTTGGGAGCCTTGGTGTTCAGAGATTGTTGCGTTGCCGCCCGGTCCTGAGCCTTGGCTGGGCCTTGGTGTCAGGAACTTGTTACGTCACCGCTCCCTGCTGGGAGCCTTGGTCTCAGCAGCTTGTTTACCTCACCGTTCGCTCTTGGGAGCCTTGGTCTGAAGAGCTTTTTGCGTTACCGATCGCTCTTTATTTGGCTTCTCTGGGCCTTCTTGGGAGTCCTCTTGCGGCCCTTTTCGAGCCCCTTTGGGGGCCTCTTGGGGGCCTCTTGGGGACCTCTTGGAGCTTCTTGAGGGGCTCTTGGGGCCTCCTGGGAGCTTCTTGGGGCGAAAGGCTAGATTTTCGGTTCGTGGTCCCCCTCTTGGGGCCGTCTTGGGGTCCTCTTTGGCCGTCTTGGGCGCCTCTTGGGCCGTCTTGGGGCCCTCTTGGGCAGTTTTGGGGGCCTCTTGGGAGCCTCTTGGGCCGTCGGTCTTGGGGGCCTCGTGGACCGTCTTCAACGCCGTGAAAGCCGAGAAGCAGTGCATGCTAAAAATATACCTTTTTCCCATAGGATATCAATGATTTGGGCCTCCTGGTGGCCTATTGGGGCACCTCTTGGGGGCCTCTTGGGGCCTCTTGAGGGGCTCTTGGGGCCTCCTGGGGGAGTCTTGGGGCGAAAGGCTAGACTTTCGGTTCGTGGTCCCCCTCCTGCGGCCGTCTTGGGGCCCTCTTTGGCCGTCTTGGGCGCCTCTTGGGCCGTCTTGGGGCCCTCTTGGGCCGTTTTGGGGGCCTCCTAGGAGCCTCTTGGGCCGTCTTGGGGCGGTCTTGGGGGCCGCCTCTTGGGCCGTCGTCAACGCCGTGAAAGCCGAAAAGCCGTTGGGGCTGTCTTGGGCGGTCTTGGGCTCTTCTGGGACGGAAAAGGGGAGAACCCGAAAAACATACGAAAACCCTAGGGAAAACCCGAAAACAGCCATTAACACCCATTCCCTCCCCCTCCCCCCCCCTCTGCACTCCCCCTTAGGGGCTTCGCCCAAACACAACGTCGTCGCTCGTACCTCGCTCTTTCCGTTACCTGGGCCCGGCACAGAAACTGAAAGAGCGCTTCAGAATCTTAACCAAAATTACTCACACCACCGTTCGTACTGGGAGCCTTGGCGTTGAGAGCTTGTTACGTCACCCCGCGCTCTTGGGAGCCTTGGTGTTCAGAGATTGTTGCGTTGCCGCCCGTTCCTGAGCCTTGGCTGGGCCGTGGTTTCAGGAACTTGTTACGTCACCGCTCTCTGCTGGGAGCCTTGGTCTTAGCAGCTTGTTTACCTCACCGTTCGCTCTTGGGAGCCTTGGTGTGAAGAGCTTTTTGCGTTACCGATCGCTCTTTATTTGGCTTCTCTGGGCCTTCTTGGGAGTCCTCTTGCGGCCCTTTTCGAGCCCCTTTGGGGGCCTCTTGGGACACCTCTTGGGGGCCCCTTGGGGCTTCTTGGGGGGCTCTTGGGGCCTCCTGGGAGCTTCTTGGGGCGAAAGGCTAGACTTTTCGGTTCGTGGTCCCCCTCTTGCGGCCGTCTTGGGGCCCTCTGTGGCCGTCTTGGGCGCCTCTTGGGCCGTCTTGGGGCCCTCTTGGGCCGTTTCGGGGGCCTCCTAGGAGCCTCTTGGGCCGTCTTGGGGCGGTCTTTGGGGCCTCTTGGGCCGTCGTCAACGCCGTGAAAGCCGAAAAGCCGTACATGCTAAAAATGCACGTTGCCCCAAGGAAAATCAATGATTTTGGCCTCTTGGGGCCCGCTTGGGGCGCCTCTTGAGGCGTCTTGGAGGCCTATTGGGACATCTTGGGGCTGTCTTCGGCGGTCTTAGGCTCTTCTGGGACGGAAAAGGGGAGGACCCGAAAAACATACAAAGACCCGAATGATAACCCGAAAATTGGCATTAACGCCCATTCCCTCCCCCTACCCCCCCTCTGCACTCCCCCTTAGGGGCTTCGCCCAAACACAACGTCGTCACTCGTACCTCGCTCTTTCCGTTACCTGCGCCCGGCACAGAAACGGAAAGAGCGCTTCAGAATCTTAACCAAAATTACTCACACACCGTTCGTACTGGGAGCCTTGGCGTTGAGAGCTTGTTACGTCACCCTGCGCTCTTGGGAGCCTTGGTATTCAGAGATTGTTGCGTTGCCGCCCGGTCCTGAGCCTTGGCTGGGCCTTGGTGTCAGGAACTTGTTACGTCACCGCTCCGTGCTGGGAGCCTTGGTCTTATCAGCTTGTTTACGTCACCGTTCGCTCTTGGGAGCCTTGGTGTGAAGAGCTTTTTGCGTTACCGGTCGCTCTTTATTTGGCTTTGTCTGGGCCTTCTTGGAAGTCCTATTGCGGCCCTTTTCGAGCCCCTTTGGGGGCCTCTTGGGGGGCCTCTTGGGGGCCCCTTGGGGCTTCTTGGGGGGCTCTTGGGGCCTCCTGGGAGCTTCTTGGGGCGAAAGCCTAGACTTTTCGGTTCGTGGTCAGCAACCAACCCGAGATGGCTCATAGCACCATTCGCTCTTGTGAGCCTTGGTGGTAAGAGCTTGTTGCATCACCGTTCGTTCTTGGAAGCCTTGCTAGTAAGCGCGTGTTACGTCACCGCTCTCTGTTGGGAGCCTTGCTGGGAAGAGCTTATTGCGTCACCGCTCTCTGTTCAGAGTCCTCGTGCCCAGAGATGCTTACGTTGCCGCTCGCCCTTGGGAGCCCTCCTCCTCCTCCTCCCCCTCCTCTTAGGGCCCGCTTGGGAGCCTCTTGGGGCCCTCTTGGGGCCCTCTTGGGGCTCTCTTGGGGTGTCTTGGGGCCCTCTTGGGCCTTCTTGGGTCCCTCTGGGAGTATCCCGCCCCTGTGGAAGTGAAAACACCCTTCGACAGAACCCACTTGGGAATGAACCCGTCGAGGCTCATCACCAGCATGACCATCATCATGATCATCTCCAGCATTACCATCATCATCGTCGCTCTTTTGGGTCTCTTAAGAACCTCTTCGGGCCTTGAGGGCCTCTTGGGGACCTCTGCAGGCTTCTTGGGGGCCTCATGGGGCCTCCTGGGAACTTCTTGGGGCGGGCCTGATAGAGCCAGTGTCGAAGTCTCTGATGGGCCGTTTTGGGACCTCTTGTGGGCCTCTTGGGAGCCTCTTGGGGCCTCTTGGGGGCCTCTTGGGGGCCTTGGTGTTCAGAGATTGTTACGTTGCCGCCCGTTCCTGAGCCTTGGCTGGGCCTTGGTGTCAAGAACTTGTGGGCCGTTTGAGAGCCTCTTTTGGGGCTCTTGGGGGCCTCTTGGGATATCCTGGGGGCCTCTTGGGGGCCTCTTGGGAGCCTCTTGAGGTTTCTTCGGGGGCTCCTGGGGCCTCCTGGGAGCTTCTTGGGGCGAAAGGCTAGACTTTTCGGTTCGTGGTCCCCCATCTTGCGGCCGTCGTCTGACCCTCTTGGGCCGTCTTGGGCGCCTCTTGGGCCGCCTTGGGGCCCTCTTGGGCCGTTTTGGCGGCATCTTGGGACCCTCTTGGGCCGTCTTGGGGCGAACTTGGGGGCCTCTCGGACCGTCTTCAACGCCGTGAAATCCGAAAAGCCGTGTGAGCTAATCAATGATTTTGGCCACATGGGGGCCTCTTGGGACGCCTCTTGGGGGCCTCTTGGGGCTTCTTGAGGGGCTCTTGGGGCCTCCTGGGAGCTTCTTGAGGCGAAAGGTTAGACTTTTCGGTTCATGGTCCCCCTCTTGCGGCCGTCTTGGGGACCTGTGGCCGTCTTGGGCGCCACTTGGGCCGTCTTGGAGCCCTCTTGGGCCGCTTTGGGGGCCTCCTAGGAGCCTCTTGGGCCGTCTTGGGGCGATCTTGGGTGCCTCGTGGACCGCCTTCAACGCCGTGAAAGTCGAAAAGCCGCATATGCTAAAAATGTACGTTTTTCATACGAAAATCAATGATTTTGGCCTTTGGGGGGCCTCTTGGGGCGCCTCTTGGGCGCCTCTCGAGCGTCTCGGAAGCCTCTTGGACCGTCTGTGGGCCGTCTTGGGCATGTTGGACCGTCTTGGGCATGTTGGACCGTCTTGGAGCCGTCTTGGACCCCTCTTGGACCGTCTTGAGCGCCCAAGACGGCCCAAGAAGCGCCCAAGAGGCCTCCAAGACGCCCCGAGCGGCCATTAGGTCCCATCCCTCCGCCCCTCCCCCCCCTCTGCACTCCCCCTAGAGAGCTTCGCCCAAACACAACGTCATCATTCGTGCCTCGCTTCTTCCGGTACCTGGGCCGGCAAGGGAACGGAAAGAGCGCTGCAGCAACCTGCCCGAGAGGGCTCATGGCACCATTCGCTCTTGTGAGCCTTGGTGGTAAGAGCTTGTTGCGTCACCGCTCGTTCTTGGGAGCCTTGCTGGCAAGCGCGTGTTACGTCACAACTCTCTGTTGGGAGCATTGCTGGGAAGAGCTTGTTACGTCACCACTCTCTGTTTAGAGTCCTCGTGCCCAGAGGTGCCGACGTTGCCGCTCGCTCTTAGGAGCCTTGGTGGTAAGAGCTTGTTGCGTCACCGCTCGCTCTTGGAAGCCTTGCTGGTAAGCGCGTGCTACGTCACCGCTCTCAGTTGGGAGCATTCCTTCTCCTCCTCCTCCTCCTCCTCCTCCTCCTCCTCCTCCTCCTCCTCCTCCTCCTCCTCCTCCTCTTCCTCTTCCTCTTCCTCCTCCTCCTCCTCCTCCTCCTCCTCCTCCTCCTCCTCCTCCTCCTCCCCCTCCTCCTGGGGCCCGCTTGGTAGCCTCTTGGGATCCTCTTGGGGCCCTCTTGGGGTTCTCTTGGGTGTCTTGGGGCCCTCTTGGGCCTTCTTGGGTCCCTCTGGGGCCGTCTGGGGGTCCTCTTGGATAATGTTTGGCCCCTTCGGGGGGCCTCTGGGGCCGTCTTGGGACGATCTTGGGGGCCTCTTGGGCGCGTTGGGCCCGTCTGGGGGCCCTGTTGGACCGTTTGGGGCCCCAAAGTGGGGCGCCTCTGGGGCCGTCTTGGGACGATCTCTGGGGCCTATTGTGCCGTCTGAGGCCCTTCTGGGACGGAAAAGGGGAGAACCCGAAAAACATGCAAAAACCCTAAGGAAACGAGAACCCGAAAAACATGCAAAAACCCTAGGGAAACCCGAAAACGGCCATTAAACCGTTCCCCCTAGACCTCTCCCCCCCTCTGCACTCCCCCCTTAAGGGCTTCGCCCCACACTACAACGTCATTCACTCGTACCTCGCTATTTCCGTTACCTGGGCCAGCACGGGAACGGAAAGAGCGCTGCAGGCACTTGCCCGAGATGGTTCATGGCACAGTTTGCCCTTGGGAGCCTGGGAGTTAAGAGCTTGTTGCGTCACCGCTCTCTGTTGGGAGCCCTGGTGTTCACAGACGGTTACGTTGCCGCTCGCTCTTGGGTGCCTTGCTGTTAAAAGCTGTTTGCGTCACCGCGCTCTGGGGAGCCTTGGCGTTCAGCGCTTGCTACGTCAGCGCTCGCTGTTGGGAGCCATGGTGTTACTTGGCGTCTCTGGGGCTTCTTGGGAGTCTTTTGGGAGCCGTTTTGGACCGTTTTGGGGCTCTTGGGCCGTCTAAGGGCCAGCCCAGTCCATACACCCAAGAAGCCCAGTCCCCATACCGCCTCTTCGGGCCCTCTCGGGAGCCTCTTAGGGCCCTCCTGGGGCTCTCTTGGGGCCGTCTTGGCCCTCTTTGGCCGTCTGGGGGCCCTCTGGGAACGTTTTCGGCCCCTTGGGGGGACATCGTCTTGTTTTCCCCTCCTGACATTCTTCAACCCCCTTTTCGCCCCCGATTCCTTGTGAAAAATCACGACCAAAACTGTCGACGCCAACTCTGCGGGACATGCTTGAACCAGACCGCTCCACGAGGGCCCCTGGCCCCGAACCAGAGCGTCCTCGGAACCGCCGTGGCCTTCGCTACCGTCGTCCTCGCCTTGGTCAGGCTTCGGGCTGGGCACAGGCAGCCCCCCCACGCAGTCCCGGCTGGCATCAACAGGCCCCGAAGTAGTCCAGGGCGGTCTCAACACCTCCACCCTGAGGCGCGGAACGTCGCAGGGGTGCCGCCAGAGGCGCCGCCAGGGTGTTGAGCCCTCCCCGACCACTCGGGGGTCTTGCTAGGGCCAGCTGGGAAAACCTCAGGGGACTGTTTGCGCGCAACCCGAAGCCTTACCACCGTGGTCCTCACCTGGAGAACTCCCAAATGGAGTACGAGCACATTGGGTCGGAGGATCGCGACGCATCGCCAAGGCATCGCCAATGCATCGGCAATGCATCGCCGACGTCAGCGATACAGTTGCGACGTCGGCGTGGAGAGAATGAGACTCCACATCGAGCCGCACCGCCGATGCGATACGGCGCGATCCTCCGACCCCATCTACTCGGACCCCATCCGAGCTGCCTAGATCAGTTCTCGCCCGCTCCCGAGAATCCTGATTATCCTGCCCCCCCTTCTGTGGCATCGGATCCCCCCATGTCTTGCTGGCTCTTGCGAATCGATGCTAATCGACGCTGAGTCGGCGCTTCCTCATGGACTACCAGACGCTAGCGCACGCTGGTGCACTCCAAAGCCGCGAACCCGGGGGGAAGTCAGAGGGGGCGGGCCTCCTCGGAAGGCTCGAGGGCCTCGGGCCTTCTGGGAAGTGCCCTACGCCCTCTCCGAAGACACGGAAAACCTCTCAAAGGCCCAAAGGCTTCAGAGAGGCCCCGCCGCCCTCTGAGAATCAGGGGGCGAAGGGCGGCAGAACGTGAACTGCTCCGCCGTCGGGGACGCCCACCGCCCAGGCGGCTGCAAAATCTATACCCCTTCGGTGCCACGTGCCCTCCGGGGGCAGGCGTCCCCGACGGCAGACAAAAGGTATGTCGTGCCGCTCGTCGCCCGCTACGATGAAGGAGCCCCAGGACACACAAATAAATACACACCAAAATCACCCCAGTGCGACCCTACCTAGAAGTTGGAGCCCCTAGGAAAGCAGCATTAGTTGCTATGCTATGCTATGCTATGCTAAACCATGCTATGCTGCGCTATGCTATGCTATGATATAAAATGCTATGCTATGCTATGGTGTGCTATGATATGCTATGCTATGCTATGATATGCTGCGCTGTGCTATGCTATGCTATGCTATGCTATGATATGGCATGCTATGCTATGCTAAGCTATGCTATGTAATGCTGCGCTGTGCTATGCTAAGCTATGCTGTGCTATGCTAGGCTATGCTAAGCTGCGCTATGTTATGCTATGTTATGCTATGATATGCTATGCTGCGCTGTGCTCTGCTGCGCTGTGCTGTGCTGCGCTATGCTATGCTATGTTGGGCGATGATATGCTATGCTATGCTGCGCTATGCTATGCTACGCTGTGCTATGCTATGCTGTGCTCTGCTATGCTAAAGCTCAGCGAAGCTAAGATGAAGGTAAGCTAAGCTAAGATAAACCTGAGCTAAGATGAAGCTAAGCTAAGCTAAGATGAAATAAGCTAAGCTAAGATGAGATAAGCAACGCTAAGCTAAGGGGACGCAATTGGGGGAACCGCGGGGCGGATCCTGGGGAAACCGCCCGGGGCGAGGACCACTGCCCAGCCCTTTAAGCTTTAAAGTAAGAACCCTTCTAGGCAGAGCCTAGGTAGGGAGAAAAGATTCCCCATATTTTCCTATATTTTCTGGGTTGCTGTCTTCCCCCCCCCCACACTTCCCATATTTTCCCACATTCTCCTGGGGAGTCGACGATGACTTGCGTCTGTGTGTTCTCTTCCCTCCTGCTACGCGCAGGCCTGCGGCCGCGCTCCCCCGCTGGGCGCGCCGCCTGGACCCCCCCCCCCGTGACCCGGGCTCGGCTTGCCGTCGCTCTGCTCGTCCCGGTAGGCCTCGCCCGACCGCAGGGCGCGCGCGCGCGCGCCGTCGCCGTCGCCCGCGGAGGAGGAGGAGGAGGAGCAGGAGGAGGAGGAGCAGGAGGAGGAGGAGGAGGAGGACTCCTTCCTCCTCTGGCCGGCCGCCGCGGAGAGGCCCGAGGCGAGCACGGAGGCGGCGCCGCGGTGCCCACCGGGGGCTCGCAGTCGCTGGGAGGCCCATTCCCCGCGCACCTTTTTCGGCTTCGTGCGCGCACCTCGTCCCAGAATGCCCCACGAGGTGCCTCGATGGCTCTTGCCAAGAAAAAAATGCACACCGGCAATGGAAGTGCGGTGCGCCGCCTTGCGGTCGCGTTGGATGTCGGTGGCCATGCTCGGTTGCACCGTCGCCTGGGAGTCATGCCCAGGCAGGGAGCCCCAACTGCGCGGCCGAGACGCCCGACAAGGAGGCGATCGAACCATCTGGTAACCCAATTGGATCACGGACGGGCCCCGTTTGTCAGTCGAGTCCCGCTTGCCGTGGTGTGGACGCGCGGGAGAAGATCAGGTGCCCCCGTCCTCCCGCCCCCCTGCCCGAGGACAGCGCCGAAGGGCTTCAAGAGAAGCCAGGACGTCTCAAAGAGAGAACGCCCCCAAGACAACCCCAATAAACTGCAAGCGCGGCCATGTGCCACAGGACGGATGGACATTGCCAATCATGCTCGCTTTACGTCTCCTTCTCTCGTTTGGCATCGCCTGTTCCTGATCATCCTCCTTTTCCTCCTCCTCCTCCCCCCGTTCCTGCTCCTTCGTCGTTTTCTCTTCCCTCCTACAGCACTCACCGCCTTGAAGAGGGGGAGGGGGAGGGGGAGGGGGCGGGGGCGGCTGACAGCGCAATCATCGCGATCACCACATGTTCGTTTTACTC